GAAGTTGTTGCTTCCTGAACTCATAACCGGGATCCTTCACCTTTCTCTTGACACTTCTTTTCACAACAGGCTCAACCGGTTCATCCTTTTCAGATGGTGCTTTATCATCAGCCACAAATGCATGATCTTCCTCATCGGCCACAACTGCATGATCTTCCTCTTGAGGCAGTATTGGTTGCTCGGTTTCCCAAACGACTTTACTCCAATCAGCTTTTGTGTCTAACATTGCCATGATTTTGTTCACTCGTTCATCCTTCTTCTCATCATCCCTTATGAACTTCACTTCAGCTATTACATCATTATTTCCGGTACAAGATATGTACGGAAACACAACTGCATTCTGTAAAGAGAAAATCATAGTACATTAGTATTTGTAAGTTATAAAGAAATAAAAAATAAGCAGAGTATGTTAGTATGTGATCACCTTTCCGAGTGCAATTTCCAGAGCAGTGATGTCAGAGTAAGATAACTTCCCACGACCATACCAATTCTGACATCTCACACTAGTTACGCCTTCCTTGTACTTGTGACCCAACAATTTCCCAATATCCGGAATAGCCTCCATAATCCAGATCTGTAGAGCGTAGGAAAACCCATCCAATACATAACTATTTTTCTTCAGCTTGGACCTTGCCTTCTGAATGGACTCCAAAAGCATATCATAAGCATGAATACCCCATGGATACTTCCTCATTTTATCAAAATCCATCACTAGTCTTATGTATTCATGAGGGATATACATCTTCTCATCCTTAGCCATTATGAACCCGTAAATAACGCAAAGATAAACTAGCCTGACTCTGTCCACACGCGACCAGTTGTGACATTCCTTTAGAAACTTCAGCCGAATATCCCTAATGCTTACATCTCTATTTTGCCTAAGCACAATGCTCCAAAACCCCTTATCAGATGTCCAAGACTCAAAATCAGTGGTGTTGTCCGCCTCGCATTTGAGACCAGTCACAGCAAAGAATTCTTGCATAGAAAACCGTAGAGGCTTCAACGCAAAGAGGAACCATAACTCATGCCGCTTGGAGATGTTGAGTTGTTTGCATATGAAGCTGTGAATAACTTTACCTGAGTATCCAAGTTGATGCTCATTGATAGCCAAAATGGGACCGAAGACAGGATCCTTCAAGACAACATCATACTCATCCTTTAGAGCATCCTTCACTGTCTGTAGAATTGTAGTCCTACAAGTGTTATTGATCTTTTCAATATGATGTTCAACTCCGGCTTCAGCTATCCGTTTTGGAAGTTCAATTTCCATTCCTGTAAACCACAAAATCAAAATATCACATGTCAACCTCAAAAAAACATATAAAAAAACTTAACCCTTTACATGAGACCCGTGAAATCTTAATTAAAACATGTTCTACAATTCAACATTCGAGTTCAAATACAGTTTTAGTTATTTGTTTTTGAGTTCAATTACAACTCAAAAAAAAAAAAATTCAGTCTTAATAAAAACATGGTCTCGATTCTCCCCCAAAATCCTTTCTACAACTCGAACATAAACAAAATTAAAAAAAAAAAAAANACATGAGACCCGTGAAATCTTAATTAAAACATGTTCTACAATTCAACATTCGAGTTCAAATACAGTTTTAGTTATTTGTTTTTGAGTTCAATTACAACTCAAAAAAAAAAAAATTCAGTCTTAATAAAAACATGGTCTCGATTCTCCCCCAAAATCCTTTCTACAACTCGAACATAAACAAAATTAAAAAAAAAAAAAATTGGGAATCTCGAAACCCTAACCTGTTGCGTCGGCGGAGAGAACGAGGTGAGGGAGGCGCAAATGAAAAGAGGAAACAGAGAAGGGAAGAGGAATCGGCGAGGAGGGAGAAGTATTGAAGAGCGAACGCCGGAGATTCGAGCTTACGTCGGAGGCGGAGAGAACGAGGTGAGGGAGGAGCAAATGAAAAGAGGAAACAGAGAAGGGATGGCCGGAGATTTGAGCTCACGCCGGAGAAAGGATGGCCGGAGATTCGACCTCACGCCGGAGAAAGCATGCTCGGGGAGAAGATGACTTCGGCTGAGAAAAAAGAAAGAAGAGATTTGTTTCTTTTTTGTCGAGAAAGATGAATTATATTAACCTTCTTTTTTTAACTTAAGTAAATATCTCATTTTTAACACTTATAGGGCTAATTTCGGATTAACACACAAGATTAATTCTAAGGGGACAACATTCTGAACAGTTATTCTAAGGGGACACTTACGTTGCATTCATGTTCCAAATTAGCAATTTTCTGTTAAATATTTCATATAAATATGTGATTCAATGATTATTACAAAATTAAGACATCACTACATGTCTACAATCAACTAGACTGCATGTCTAATCAACACCATAACTGAACCCTTGCCACCTTAAAAAAAAAAAAAAAACTGAACCGTTGCCACCAAGACCAATATAAAACAATCCTCAACACAACCAGTCACCAGTAATCCAAATCAAAGAAAAGAATCAACCAAAGAACCAAAAATACTTCACATAACCAACGCAAGCGAGCATAAACCATAGAGAAATCCATCGATAAAGTAAATTTGGCATGACTCACATACAACCACAAACCCAATCAATTCTAAAAGAGAACGAAACCTAAAAGACTAGAAAACAAACCGCATGTAAACCATGAGGCTTGGATAGAGATCTCTGGAGACTAAACTCGTTTGCATTTTGACTTGCTTCACCATTCACATAAATCACAATCAGCACTTCAGCCACGATGAATGTAGAAACCTCATGACTATCTCTTGATTCAGATGAGCATGGAATCAAGAGAGAAGAGGTGCCATCAGAAAGACAAACGACTTCAACCACTCTTGACGCACATATCTAATAACACAACCGCCAAATTCACCAGAAGACCATAAAAGAGATCCTATATCTTTAAAAAAAACACACATGGACGAGACTGGAAACAAAGAGGAGAGAGACCCTCCCGGAGGTGGCGAGGCGCGCCAACTGCCAGATAAGTCTAGGGAAATCTAAGCTTCTTTTGTCTAAGAGAGGAAAAAAAAAGTTATAGGATTTTGAAATTTATTTCACGAGAATTTTTAACCATTAAAGTGACATTTATCATAAAAAGTCTAATCAAGTTTACTTGTTCTCATCAAGTTCAATATGTGAATGGTACTGTCTATGTTGAAAAAAATGATAATCCGTCAATCTTTTTAAAAATTATTTAACTAATAAATATAAAAATATTTAAATAAAAAAATAGAAAATTCTAAAAAAAAAATCTAAAAAGTCAACATCTAACAAAATAAAAGTCTTATATCGATGGCACAGGATAGAAGTTAAGCCAAATTCCATGAAATGCATGAATGTGTTGCCATATATATATAGAGCAATGTAAGGAAAGGGAGACATTTCAAACACCACAATAAATGTTTGAACAATGAAACGCCTATAAAATCTATGAAAGAAAACTAAAAAGAAACATTAAAAATCTGTTAAATCATTTTCTCCGTCTAGTTAATCTGTAAAAACAATGGCGTCGAGATCATCAACATCCGTTCTCCTCCTCTCTTGTATGATATCGTGTGAGTTTTTATCTCTATAATTCCATTTTAACAAACTCCAAAACATGTCATAACTCATAATATGGTGATAAACATGTACCTAGGCGTGTTTATGTTGCTTGTAATCAATGTACCAAAAGCAGAGGGTGATAGCCAATTGCCAGTCTGCGGAAATAAAGAAGGATGCGGAGGCATATGGTGTAGAGATGAAAGAAGACCAGGTAAAGGAAAATGTATCACTTGGACTTGTGACTTACAAGAAGATTGTAAGAAGTTTGTTAATTGCGAGGGATTACCAATGCCTTATTGTATGGAAGGATTATGCGCTTGTTAGAAGAAGAAAAACGCGTGTTTTTTATATGAAAAGTATCAATGGAATAAGATTATTTTGCGTAATTATGCTTACTGGATCTTTAACCGATGTGTGACGAGTGACGACATAAACATCCGTCGCCACGATACTTTTTAACATGACTACGAGTTTGAGATATATTGTCAATACGAATTTAATTTCTGAGAACAATTTATATAACATGACTACTATTAGGCCATCTTTGAAGTTTTACTCTTCTCAGTTACTCCTACTTCTTGAAGGCTTGGATGTTTGGAAGGTCAAAACTCATTCTTCTCTTGATATCAAAGGAACAAAGCTCATTGCGGACCGCGTTACCAAACAAAACCGCTTTCAATCTTATATATCTAGGGGTTGTCCTAGTTGGTTAAATCACTTATATTTTAAGTTAATGTCTCTGGTAACAATATTATGGCTCACTCTATCATATCTAAAATCTAGTGTTAAAAAAAAGACTACTATTAGGCCTCGACATAAATCCAGCAAGATCCCATCAGAACACGAACAGAAAATATCCCATCCGTAAATCCAGCAAGATCCGATCAGACCAGTAACAGCAAATATCCCATCCGACATGTAAAAATATCCTAACTAATAGTGTAAGATATCACAAAATATATCTGAATCCAAAATATATATATAATTTTTTTTTGAATCTAAAATATTATTAACCAAATCCGAACAAAAAAATCCAAAAAACCCAAAGATCCAGATTAATATTGAATATAAATAAGAAAATATAAATATGTGATTCAAATATTCAATGTCACAATTATGATTATTTGGTATGATATTTTTAAATAAGTATCTAAAACTTAATTAAGCACCTTGAGTACCCAATTATACATAAATAATTATTTATTTTAATGTTATTCCTTTTATGATAAAATATGGTAATAATTTTAAATCAGAAAAAAATGCAAAAGAATCATCCAAATGTTGATTACATCTGTAAAATCAAACTTTTCTATGTAAGGTTACTAAATCGCTAAATAAAAAGATTGCAATTAAACTCCCAAATTTCAAAAGATTACAAAAGATTACAGCTTTGGTGCGCCCTACATCGATACCGGCATTAGCAGAAGCATCAAATCACCGTACCAGAGCAAATCAGAGCAACAAACATGGTATATAGAGTATAGACAACATTCCCAATATCAAACAAGGTATAGTCATAGATAACTAATTGTTTAACTTCTTCCGCAAGGTACCTCCAGAGTTTTCCACAGAGCTTTAGAAGCTGTTATACCTTCAACCTGACCACAGGTGATAAAGTATTTGATCAGGGCCATTTTTCCCTCATGGTGGTTATGACAAAATAACCTCAACTAAGTTCGATCTCCACGTCGGACCTAACTAATGGGCGATCGTTTCAACGGCCGAGGAGACCAAAGCTGAAACCTTTGAAATCATCCATATATCGACCACTAACAGGTTGCAAGTACGTCTCGTCAAAACAGAGGCTTACTGCAGATTATATACTAAGAGAGAGTATGATTCGATTGGGATTGAAATTGTAGCAATAGTCCGTAATCCATAACGGATATATTGTTTAGTTCGGATAGATTGCGAATAGCATATATCACTTCAGATAATGCCAAACTCATTGGAAAATTTAACCACCATAATATAAAATAAAACCTTAAACGTCTATTTAATTTAGATCAATTTAGCTTCCATGATACTTTTAGTATTTACATAAGTGCACTCACATCTATGTTATGCACACAAAGTGCATTCACATGTGTGCCTGATCAATCATGTATTGTTTTAACTAGTTACTTAGTTTTGTCTTTATGCCACCTATAACATATATAATATGGAATATTTACTGTTACTTCAACAGAGAGCTAGCGACGTGATTTGGCGAATGAGAATCAGATTAAGTTCACTTTAAACGCAATGAAAAATCTGCACTTTATAGAAACAGGCATATATCCAATATCATTTGTGTGGCGGAGATGGATTCTTACCGGCCGACTTATTCTTGGGTCTAGATTCACCATCCAATAAGATTGCATTATTTCATATTTGATATCTTTTTAAAAGGGAAAGAAAATCTTATTAAGTTATATTATGTTTTTAAAAATAAAAATAGAAAATAAATAAATAAATAAATAATAAATAAAAAGGAAATAATTCTTTTTAAAGAAAATATTTTAGCATTAACCCCTAAACTATAATCACAAACCATAAATCCATAGTTAAATCATAAACCTTTAGATAAATCTTATAGTGTTTTAAAAATTTAATATTTATGATTTACCCAAGGGTTTAGGGTTTAGGATTAGAGTTTAGGGTTTAGTGTTTATGATTTACCCAAGGGTTTAGAGTTTAGGATTAGAGTTTCGGGTTTAGTGTTTATGATTTACCCAAGGGTTTAGGATTAGATTTTAGGGTTTAGTGTTAAAACATTTTTTTTATAGAAATTTTTTTTTAATAAAAATTATCCAAAAGTTTATGATTTACCTAGGGGTTTAGGTTTTAGGATTAGAGTTTAGGGTTTAGTGTTAAAATATTTTCTTTAAAAAAAGATCATTTTCGTTTTTATTAATTGTTATTATTTTTTATTTATTTTTGTATTTTTATTTTCAAAAAACATAATATAACTTAACAAGATTTTGTTTCCCTTTTTGAAAGATATCAAATATGAAATAATGAAATCCTATTGGATGGTGAACCTAGAGGTTCACCCTAGGGGGTGAACCCAAGAATAACTCTTATCGGCCGCCTAAGAAAATATATAACCGCATAATAACAAAAGAACAGCCACATATTTGATTGATTAATCAATCGATTTTTCTTTTTGATAAAGTAAACAATAGATTTTTGTGCAATAAGATCACATGTTTGAAAAACATTATATAAATGTTTTCTTTATATAGATGGATTCGAGATTTTATATATATCAAGCAAGATATGTAGGCATATGCGCACGCATAATAATAAGAGTAACATGACTGAGAATATGTTTGTGTTCATCTAAAAATGGGAAGGCATGATTAATCCTATTAGGGCATCTATAAGCCATTATAAATTTGGAGATGGTGTCTTTCCGGATTTACCAAGTAGGAATTGATTTGCCCAGTGATAACAAGAATGTTAATGGATATATTCGAATATAGGTTATGATGAAGCTGAATACAAACTACATGTGTTACAAATATTTTTATTTTTGATAATTGTTTTTAACACAATGATACAGATAATTTAGTTTTCAGAATTACTGGAAGAATTCAATCTGAAAAATCTGCGAAATTATATTTACCAAATACCTACTATAGGTCAATGACTATTCAAAATTTTAATTAGCATTTGTTCCTTAATATGTCGTACAAGAACGAGTATATGTTAAATATGGTTCAGTATTTTAAAAAATAATAATAAAAATATATGATTCAGTATTCTCGTACGGCTAGTAGACTCTAAGGATCAATATAGTTCTCACGTAAATTGTACTGTCCTATATTCGATAAGTATATAATGTTATCTTTTAAAAAACCTTTGTATTTGAGTGCAATGTTTAGGGTTATATGTCAATAATGTTATCTTTTAAAAAACCTTTGTATTTGAGTGCAATGTTTAGGGTTATATGTCAATAAAGAGTTTAGGATATCAAGTGTTTATCAAAATTTGCTATAGACATTTCAGAAAATTAAAACAATCTGACCCTTATAGCATTCAAAACACATAGTTAGAAGTAAAAGAAGATTATGAAAATTTACCAGAAAATAGTTTTAACCATCTTTATGAATCATGCAAAAAATCAGATTCAAATTCGAAGTACTTTTTTTTTACGTCAAAAATATTCGTAGAACAAAGTTAATGTCTACTGGTGAAAGTCTGAAATAGTGTATGCAATAAATATAGAATGGAATAAAATAAATCTATATATTTTCTTCTAAAAAGATAATATTAATATTAGATTAATTTAATGTTCTTGTGGTATCAAGTTTGATGTTTGGTTTCATTTTATGTGTGTATAAAAGAAATTAGAACCATGTATATAATTAAATGGATTAGCACCCATTAGAGTCTCAAATCTGCTAAAATGGAGATTCCTACACATTGAAATTTGACATTTGCTGACGCCAGTTAGCAGAAGTTTGGTTCAAAAGTGCCAATGATATATTTCTTTGATTACTATATAACCTTTTCTTTATTTTGTTATGGTGGGTTCATGTGGCTCTCCTTAATCGTAAAGATAATTAAATGATAATTCACTCATGATTTCTTAATATATTATTAATGATAGCTTCATAATATGTATATTTAAGGTGTAACACAACTGCTTGAAATAAACTGCTTCTTTATATTTTTTTTAATGAGTCTTTTATTCCCAATGGTTAATTGTAGATAAAATACAATATACTTCCTCTGATTCATTATAAGTGTCACTCTACAGCTGTGCACACGGATTAAGAAAATAATTAATTTCATATTTTTTATATAAAAACATAATTATCTATGCATCTAACCATATTTTAACCAATAGAAAAACTAATTACATAATAAAATTAATAAATTTTGCATTGAAAACCAAAAACGGCACTTATTTTGTAACACAAAAAATTCTCTACAACGACACTTAATATGAAGGAGAGAGAATAATACATTGTTGAAAATTCAAATAAATAGGTTAATTGTAAATGTTCTTTTAGGCGAATTAAGCTTCTTAGGCGGATTAAGCTCCACAAGAATTATGCAATAACGTTTGTAAGGTTCTCACATATCTTCATTGGGAACAGGAGGGAAAACATAACATAAATTGGAAAAGTTAGCAAAATTAATTTAATCAAAACCTCATTTCTTCATTTTGAAAATTATCTACTCGTCCATTCATTTATTACGTTCAGTAATAGTATATCTTTGAGGGATGCAAATTACTTATTGGAACCACTAATATATTCTGAAAATCCAAAATATGACTCTATTCCTCTTTCTTTTTGAATTTCAAGTATATTTTTAATTTGTTGTCTTACATTAAATTACAAATCGTAATGAAAATAAATTTATTTATTATTAGTTTACAATATGCTCTAGTTACACACTATATATAATCCATAGGACCAACTTCTCCCTGATTCGTTCTTAATCTAACTCTCCAACATTATAAAACCCTCTCCACTTCCTCCTCCTCCTACTTCAAAATAACTTCTTTCCAAAAAAACAAATCATACAAACTCATCCGTATTCATCTCTCAATCTTATAAACCAAACTAAGACCATGATTCCGGCAGAAATCACCGGTTACTTCCAATACCTATCGCCGGAAAACTTAACTACGCTCCCGGCAGAGTTCAACATAATAAACATGCCCTCATCTCCAACCTCATCCTCTTCACTAAACTACTTAAACGATCTCATCAACAACAACAACTATTCCTCATCATCCAACGGTCAAGATCTCATGATGAGCAACAACTCATCAACTTCCGACGAAGATCACCATCATAACCATCGTAAGGGCATCATCATACTCGACGAGAGGAAGCAGAGGAGGATGCTTTCAAACAGAGAATCCGCGAGGAGGTCGAGGATGAGGAAGCAAAGACATCTTGATGAACTCTGGTCTCAGGTGATAAGGCTTCGCAATGAGAACAACTGTCTTATTGATAAGCTGAACAGCGTGTCGGAGACTCAAGATAGAGTGCTGAAAGAGAACTCAAAACTCAAAGAAGAAGCTTCTGAGCTTCGACGGCTTGTATGTGACCTAAAATCTAACAACAATAGCAATAGTTTTTAAGAGAGTTCGAAGAAGTTTAGTGTGTCTTCAAGTTTAACCGGACGGGCAGAGATTTTGAGTTTGTGTTATTCGGTATACAGATTTTGGGTTATGGTTTCTTCTCGAATATAAAGATGGTAACAAACATGTATCATATTGTATCATACACTTTGAAGTTAAATAACACTCAGTTCTTGAGCATATTCATGTTCTCTATTCTCTCCTTTTTTGGATTATACATAACAAATTCAATATACAAATCATAACCATATCATACCGCTAATATATTACATTATATATCTGATTGGTACTCTGCGGACTCAAGATTTTGATTGATTTAGTCCACAATTCTATTAATTATTTAATTTTTTTTTGAACTTTCCATTATTGATTAAAATTTGTGACAGTAAATATCCAAAAGATTTACGCTGTAATGTGATTTTTGAGTTAACTTATTTCCATTATGTTATGTTGCCACGTAAAAAAATCAGAATATATGTTAATGCCACTTAGAAGGCCTATTTAAAACTCATCAAAATTCTCCATAAAAGAATGTTTGAAGTAAACTGTATATTCTGAAATTCATACTTTCAGAGATATCTAGAAAATAAATTAATAATGAAAGACAAAATAGCGATGGAACTTATAACATAATTGTTGACACTAATATTGCTGACATGTCATAAAATGCAAGCGTGAATTGTAGATAAATAGATTAAAAAGGATTATAAGTTTTTTTTTTTTTGGAATGAAAAGTGAAAGGATTATAAGTTGTTCCGATGTAAATCAATTATGACGAACTCTATTAACAAATTTTCAGAGTTTGTTCGCCGCATAAATACACTTGCAGTGAACTGTCACTCTGAACATAACATCTTTGAAAAAAAATTCATATGCAAACAAGAGCGAAAACAAAAGATTGCTAAAAACGGTCTCTTCTTCATTTTTAGGGAACATCATCAAGTTCTCTTAATCATTAGTTTTTTTCTTGTAGCACATATCACTCCGAGTGTGACAAACCACCATGAATATTTTCATGAATTTCACCTGGCGCATTACTATTATGTAATTTTTGAGCACTAAATCGATATCCGCAGATTTAATTTTATAGTTTTATACTACTTTTGGCCTACCTTATTGTTGGTTTTTAACTTTTGGCCTACTTAAACACACATGTGATATGGATATTGGATATATAGTAATACTGTAATAGTCTTTGTTTATGAACTGCATCTATTTTCAACCACAAGCTTCACATTATATCTATTGTCTTACAGTAATGCTAGTACCGACCAATGTTAACCACATAGAACGATATCGTCCTCCGAATCAAAACTTAGGATTGGTCAAGTTATCTATAAAAATATTAGAAAATGATTGTATAAAACAATTAGAGTAGTATTTACGATTCAGTTTTGGACCTAAGCACAGTAGACACCATAATCCTTCTATTCACAAAGCTTGTCAATATGAATCTTCCAAAGATTTTTTTTTTGCTATGAAGAAAAAGAAGAACTGTAGAACCGTATTCTGTCTCTATCCCAAAGATTTTTTTCATTGGTTACATCAAGTTGTGATTCATCACGTTTTTTTTATCAGAAGCTGTGTCCATCACGTTGCCCAATATAAGTTTTTTTTTTGTCGTCCATTAATTTGTCCAAGATAAGATTTATTCCATTAGATATTGGTAACTAACTAATTACCTAATTGCTAAGGAGAAAAGATATTGGTAATTGCTGAATATGATCATTGACTCTATAATACATTTTCTTTTTGTTAAAAGAGTGTATACGAACATATGGTGGATGAGTTATCTTTAAAATGAAAGAAGACACATTTTATAAAGGAGTACACAAGAAGACGACAAAGCATCGTGGGGGCTCTGGTGATAGTGCCTGCCAATGATATCGAAGCATAGACATTTTCGAGACTACTAAAGAAAAAACTAGAAGCTTACAATAAGGTGTTACGTTACGTCCCGAAAGCTTTTCTCATACTAATCTGTGGAATGACCAAATGATGACAATTACATATAACCAAACCAGTCATATTGTTTATAAGCAAAATCATATTTCATTTTAATGTTCCACATATATATATTTTTATGCATATAAATTATAAAACAATTTAAACCTATGAAGTTGCATAAAATACTAATCAATAGTTATGATTTAGATTTTGTAAGTATTTGTATCCGTATATGATCATAAAAAAATCACCAAGTTTTATATAAAATTAGATGTCTTGTCCGCATCATGCGTGAACACAATCATTTGTGAATATCTACTAAGAGCATTTCCAATTGTATTTATTGTTTCCTCTAAATATCAGATATATAATAAAAGTCAGTCGAATGATACATCTAGTCTTACACAAAATATAGAAGGATGAAACGTGTTACTCTAAATATATATAGTAACACTATTCATTTAATCCATTTTTGGAATTGAATTTTTCTTTACAAAATGATCATTTACTTTTCTATAAGTTTTAATTTTTACCTAAATAGAATTGTATGTTATAACTTTGTACATTTAAATATTGTAAAGTTAATTACTAAATTAAGTTAAACTTTAGATGCACTAATACATTATATTAGATTAGAAATTTCAGAAAGTAATAATTGATAAACTAATAATACATAAGCAATAATAAAAATATAAAAGACCTAAACTTACATTTTTTTTTTTTGAACACAACATAACTTATATTAAGAAAGCCCACACCATCGAAACTAAGATGGAGAGGGAAAGGTAGCATTACAGAGAGCAGCCTTTGCAAGCTGATCAGCAGTAGAGTTCAGAAGTCTTTTAACAAACTTAAAGGAAACAACAGAGAAACTAGAAGATAGGAATTCGAGATCCTGGACGATTCCGAAGAGTTCAGCCGGAGGAAGCTTCGAAGTAATTGCTGCTAAGAGCAATTGGCAGTCTGTGTTGAAACAGACACTGTGGTAGCCACATGACAGGGCTTTGCCGATGGTCCAGCGTAATGCTAGAGCCTCTGCGGTAAGCGACGAAGAAACGTATCTTTCTACGCAGGAATCCTGGAGGATGACTTGTCCATCCTTGCTTAAGAAGATACAACCAAAACCTGCAGTTTTTGTATCTTTATTCCAAGCTGCATCAGAGAAACCAAAAGTTAGAACATCCTGATCGGGTATATTCAACAGCTGGTGTCGCAGCTTAGGTAGTTCGGTTGTAATGTTTTGTGCCAAATTCCATTCTCGGGCGCTACTAATGGCATTGGTTATGGTGTCTGTCGATGAAATGTGCCTATCCTCAAATATAAGTTTGTTTCTTGCCGTCCATAAATTCCAGCAAACCCATGGAAACTCAATATTTTTCCTACAACAACAAATTGCTGAAGACATATTTTTGAAGTGAAAATTCCGTTCTCTAGGTAACTCAATGTTTTTCTGACAACAACATAGTGATAAAATATGATGGTGCAAAATCAACATCTTAAAAGTTATAGATTAAACAACAAATTAATAAATAATCGAAGAAGAAATATCGTAGGTACAATTCTTTTTTTTAGAATAAAAGTAGAGGTAGTCCTTGGAACAAAACCTCCATATATATTTAGAGTACTCTATTTTTTAGAGTAAAAAGTAGTTAGAACCATTAGAGATGGTTAAATACAAGGAAATTTTGAAATTGTATCCATCTTATCTTATATGGATATTTTGTTTGTCAAGTAGCTCACAAGTTATAAATTTAGCTTCCGTCCCATGATTTGTCAATTTTGTTACAGTAACCTATCATTGCTCAACCTACCTTTATATCTATATATTTATCTTTGATTGTGATTTACAGGACGTCTTAACAAAAAAAAACTATGGATTGAGGATTCTATTGGTACAAGTGTGATAAAGCAGTAAAAGTATATTGTAGAAGTAGTATCTTGTTTAAGCTATATAATCTCATTAAAAATTTTAATAAAATAATTGATATAGCTATAGCAGTATATAATTTTAAAATTATCACAACAGTTAGTATATAATATATTTATTTTGGAATAATATAATATATATATATTTATAACATATATTAATAATATATTTGTTATTCAAACTATGAATCTTATTCAGTTATATAAATTGTATTATATTATAAATATGATATATTATTATTTGAAATTAATTTTAAAATAAGAAATTTTTTTTTTGGATATAAACATGAATTGATATTATTAAAAAAATAAATAAATTATATATAATTTATATATAAACCATCATTATTTATTTATTGGTAGAACAAAACATGATTCATATATAATATTAGCATAAAAATTAATATATTAAATATAATTTTTCTAATTCTATATATTATATATTTATACTATTATTTTAGAAGTAATTTTGCTTAGTTGTCAACTTCTCCATAATTTTAGGTAAATTTGTTTATTTGCAATGTTTTAATAATTTCATATATAATTTATTATATACAATAAAATAATTTATATTAAGAATATTATATTTTTAGACAATAAGATAATTCTTTTGTAAAATTGTTATCTTGAAAATACCTATTATAAAATTCATGTGAATTTACTTATTGATTTGTAACTTTTTCATGATTTATGTAATTTTTTGCTTATTTGTTATGTTTTTAATAATTTTATATATAGTTTATTATATATAAAACAAATTTCTATTAATAATATTATACTTTTAGAAAATAAGATAATTTGTATGTATTATTTGTTATCTTTAATAATATTATACCAAAAACTCCATACAAGAAAATTGAGCAAATGAGAAGTATCTAGAAAGCATTAACAATTTGTAAATACTGATCTAAATTTTTCTGATAAATCTTAATTAGATAATTGAAAACACTTATGCTAATATTTTGTCAATCAAACTCTGAGTTTCCCGAACTTAGGCGAGAGATGTGACCAACCAAAAGCGACCGCTCTAGTAAGTTTACCAATCAATACCCTTGGCTAAGTCTGGGCGTTCAGTGGCACATTCAGTTTTGGTCCGTGTGATTTGGATTTTTATATTTTTGGTGTTA